TGTGTGTGCGTGTATGCTTGTCTGCATTCACTCGTGCGTGCATGACTTCTGGGTACCTTCCTCTTTCATTCTCCATATTTGTTATTATCACTTTGTCATTATCACTGGAGGTGTGTGCACACGCACCCCATGCCTGTGGAGGTAGGATGGCAACTTTTCAGGAGTTGGCTCTCTCCTTTCATCACTGAGTTTGTCTTATTTCTGCTGCTGCACTGTGAATGTAAATTTTCATTCAACTTGGATTTTGGGGACCAAACTCAGGTGGTCACTTAGGCTTGTGCGAGCCATCTTATTTTATTATTTTATCCTCCACCTTATTTTTAGTATTTATTTTTTTGAGATGAGCTGATACTGACCATTTTGGCAAGACTGGCTGGTGAGTGAGCTCCAGGGATCTACCTGACTCTGGCCTTTCCAGTGCTGGCATTTCAGCTGTGCGCCTATGCTTGGCATGTGCGTTGGTGTTGGGCACCTGATCTTAGGTCCCTTTGTTTGTGAAGCAAAAACTTTACCTGCTGAGCCATCTTTACAGACACAGTAATTGACAGTTGTCATTTATAAAGAGCACAGACAGGAAACTGGATGTACTGGTTCCCAGAGGATGTAAGAAGAGATGTGCCGGTTGCCAGAGGACAAAGACCACTAACTTGACAGTGGGTTGATAAGGAGGGTGTATCGCATTTTTCATTTCTTGGTGTTTGTTAATTTTTAATCCCTGTTAAAGGGACTTATTTTTAACCCTATTTGCATTTCTGTGTGTAGAGATGTGCATGTGCCCACAGAGATCAGAAGAGGGCATTTGAGCCCTTGGAGCTGGAGTTACAGGTGATTGTAAGCTGCCGGGAACCAAACTCACGTCCTCTGCGAGAACAGCAAGTGCTCAGAACTGAAGACCCATCTGTCTTATCTCTAAATCATTTTTTTTCACTCTTAGATAAATATAGAAGTATGGGGACAACTCAAGGAGCTCAGAGATCCTAAGCCCAACATAATCAAATAAAAAGTCTTTTAAATTTAACCTACAATAAATCAAAGAACTATGCCTTAATTTGGGGACATCTAGTGTGGAGATATTCATTTATGCTTCCAAACCAGACATTTCTTGATCTTGTCTAGAACTAGATTTGCTCCTTAGTTACAGCGAGTCCTTGGTCACTTTAAGAAAAGACAGGATTAAAAGAAAAACGAGAAAGAAAGGAAAGCAAGAAAGAGGAAGAGTGTGGTCCCTAAGTAACATTTCCTTAGAATTGCTGAAATTATTGGCCATTTAAAAAATAAATCTAATTTTCTGGACCTCAGGGCAAATCTTTCAAGTCTGTGCTTGGTAACAGATGAGTCGTCAGTGCTGTGTGAATGACTGTGACCACAGCGGGCAGCTAAGAGTTTTGGATACGCTCCAGTGCCTTGCTCACTGCCCCTGTGCCACCTCTCCAGCAGTTAGATGTGGCTGCTCTTTAGCTAGCCTCGTTTCACGTTATTAGCTTTCATGTATTAAAAAAATATAGACATCTAAGAACTTGTACTACTCTGCCACAGGATATAATCTGATATACTAGAAGAATTCCAAATTTAAGCTAACCAGTTCTGAGTTTAAATCCTTGCTCCTTTTGGTCAAATGGAGCATATTGAGGAATGTTTGCACTTAAGTGAGTCTGTTTCAACATGAATTAAGATGTGCTTGTGGGTGTGAAGGTTACACACGTGTGCGCATGCACGTGGAGGGTACAGATCACCATTCAGGACTGGACTTTAGGAGCATCATCCTAAGACACAGCTTCTCAGTGGCCTCGCTGTCTAAGTGCGCCAGACAGCCTGGCCATCCGGCCGCATTGCCAGGCCTTTTAATGTGGGTTCTAGAACTTGAAGACGGGTCCTCATGGCTGTAAGGTAAACACTTTAGTGACTGAGATAGCGTCCTAGCCTTCCTTTGACACTTAAAGTATGGAGAGACTCATATTTGGTTTTGGTTAGTATGAAGATGGAATGAGATGTTGCATATTAAAGCCAAGAGAGGGTGTCTTTTCAAAATGTGACATCTCATTTCTCTAAACGATTTGCCACTCTCAGGACACTTCCGAACTTTGTAATAGTTGTACCGCTCAGATCATACTCTTCTGTTGCCTCCTTTCTGTTCCCAAGAATACTATGTATAGGCTGTTCATTTCCCAAGAGATGTTATGGTTAGAGTAATGGATTTGTGGCAGCTGAGGTTGAGCCCAAAGGCAGTGTTCATAGCTTGGAATTTTCAGGTGCACCAAAACTCTACCCATTATGTATATCATGGTCTATTGAGAGACTAAGACCCCATCACACATTCTGTGTTGAGGGTGAAGGAGACAGCCATGGGCTGAGAACGGAAGTAGGGATACAGGGGTGATGTCATAAAAGTGGCATCAGTACGAGAGGGTAGGCTCCCCACCGCCGTGGGAGAACCCAGCCTTATTGATATTAACTCAGCCCTGAGGGTGGAGACACAGAACCACCCCTTCCACAATAGTTCAGCCCTGTGCTACAGTGAAAGAAGGCAAAGTCTGGCTACAAATAGCTGTTTAACATCCCTGGATTAGACAGTGCCACCCTCTTTCAGAGAGCCTTGCTGAAACTTGCCAACATTTCAATACAAGTTCTCCTTAGCTGCACACTTGGAGCAAGCAATAATGTAGATTGTGTAGCTTTGAACACAGAATGACAGTATGTGTGTCTGGCTGCTCTGAAATTCACTATGTAACAAGGCTGTCCTAGAACCCATGATCCTCCCTCAGCTTCCTGAACACTCAAATTACAGGCATGTGTCACTGCACTCAGCTTCATGAGCTAGGGTTGGGCCCACTGTCTGAGTTCTGTGAACTCTCTTCACTGATAAAAGGAAGTCTTAGCTAAAGACCCCAGGAGCTGAGAAGGCATCTAAAACAGTTGGGGTTTTAATATGGGAAGAAACAAGTGGCCAGCTGGTGACATATGGAAGGGAACTCCTTTCCCGCCTTCTCTGTTTTAGCTTTCTAGGTCTGTGATCTTATTTTACAAAACCTTTAAATGGTCAGTATTGTAGAATAAGTGAATAAATGGATACATTTTCTGAGACAGCAGGCATCTTTTCTTAAGAATTTGCTTAGGATAGTTCTGTGCTTTGCATGAATTCTTTCATTTCATTCCCACCATTGCTCCTGTGAGACCCCCCTTTCTCACCTGATCTTATAATGTGGAATAATTTAAAAACTCTGGGAATAAATCTTAGGCCCAATTACAACACACAAATACACAGATGTACACAGATACACACACACACAGACAGACACAGTCAGTCAGACAGACGGACAGATGTATACATATATATTACATACCTACACACAGATATACATGCACAAAGAAACACACACACACACACACACACACACACACACCAATAACTGATTTGTCTTGCTGTTTTTCTTCTTTCCTGAGACTCGGACTGTATTAGACTTTTCTTATTGTTGTGACCATGTGACCAGATTACTTAAGAAGAGCTTACATTGGCTCATAGTTTGAGGAAATACAGTCCACCAAGGAGGAGCCTAAGGAGGTTACCTGTATTGTACAAGTAGTCGGGAGGTGGAGCAGATAGAAAGTGAGGCTGTAACGCCTCTGGGCCCTCTCCCAGTGACCTACTTCCTCCAGCAAGGCTTCGCCTCCTAAAGGTTTCAGAACCTTTCCAAACAGTGCCGCCTTCTGGACTAAGTGTTAAAACCTATGTGCCTGTGGAAGGCTTCCACACCACACGTAGCACAGGCTCAGAGTAAACCAGTCCAGCCCACGAATGCTTGCCCCCAGCTCCTGGAGCAGCACCCAGGTCTGCTCTTGCACAGGGTTCCACTGTTTCCCAGTGCGCCTGCCTGATTTTGCCACAAGTAGTTTCCCAAGAGAACTCTCCCGTTGCACCAGGGGAACACGTTTAAAGATACAGAGTTTCCCAGCAGGTTCTCATCACAAGGCTAACAGGACATGAATAAAACCCACATGCTTCTTCCTTCTGCCCTGGTTCACTCCCAGAAGCCCGGCGGAAGTTTACGATTAATACAGAAGTCCTGTGGTCCCAGTGGATAAACACCTCTCCAAACCCTTGGAGACTTCTCACTGGCTCCTTCCTAGGATAAGCACGACTTTACACCTTCCGGTGTTTCCACGGCTAGGTGCCCTGTAACCCTCACAGCCAGCTGTTGCCAGGGGGGCTGACATGTCTGGGCTCCCTGATAGCACCCATTACGGGGGACGCAGCAGTGTAGGTTGCTTGGGGCTTGCCTCCCAGATGGGCTTCAGGCAGGCCCTGCAACAGAGGCTGTCCCTCTAGGTCCTGCAGACACACTCCAGGCGACCTGGGGGCCGATCGACACTTCCTTTTTCTTTTCTTTTTTTGGTGTGTGTGTATGTGTGTGTGATAGTGTGACTATGGAAGTCAGGGGACAACCTTGAGTGTCAGTCCCTGCTTTTCACCTTGTATGAGACAGGGTCTCACTTGTTTGCCACACAGCATACATACATGAGGCTAACTGACTAGGGAGCTTCTGGGAATTTCTGCTGTCTCTGGCTCCCATCACCCCCAGAGAATGCTGGTATTACAAAAGTTCACTACCACATTCATTTTTTTTTCACATGAGTTCTGGAGGTCTGGACTCAGGCTCTTATACACCAGGAGCACCCAAGACAGGTGGCGGGGGCCTCTTTAAACACTGCAGTGAAGACGACATACCTATATGCTATTCCCACATGAATTCATGCTCAACTGTTGCCTGTTATCAGATATGCTGTGATCTTCTCACACACACACACACACACACACACACACACACACACACACACACACACGTCCATTTTAAGTTTCTTCATTGTCGTCATTTTACTCATTAAGTCTGAAACTGTCACTGCCACAAGGAATGAAATCCAACAAGAACTGCAACCACGGGGCCGGTGTTCAGCAGCCTGCAGGCAAGGAGCAGGACGCGGGTCTCTTGAGAATGTTCTCTTACCACTAAGGAGAGGCCTGTTTTGCCGGTATGAGGCAGGCAGCTGGCCGATGCCCTCCATCCTGTGGCTCATGACCCGTGCAAGGTGGCCCGTGTGGTGCAGGCTTCCCACAATGATGCTGTGCAGGTACACAGGCTCGATGAAGTGACAGAGGAGAGCGCCTTGTAGTCCCAGCACATTCCAGCTAGAAGGAAAAGCAAGGGGGAGGTCAGTGGGATTCCTGCACCTGCCGGGGGATGCAGTGCTGGCAGCTCGGTGGTCCGCTCAGGGACCCGGACCCGGAAGTGATGTCGGTGCCATTCTGTCCTTCAGAGGTGTCCCTTTTCCCAGCCTGGGCAGGGTTGGCCTGGGGACTTCTTAGGGTGGCCACCGATGATTCTGCTAGGCTCTAAGGACCTAGAACTGAGCTCTGACAGTGTCTTTGTGTATTCCTTAAGCTCAACTTCCTTTTCTGGAAAACAAGTTGTTGGAGAGACAGGAAGTACTATTCTCTCAGCGACTTAAAATTAGACTCTTTAAAAGAACATGCTCCGTTCCCGAAGTGAATATCAAGTGTTTTCTTATATCTGGGAAAGATTCAGAAAATGAATTTGCTGATTTCCGCTTGGGGAAAAGGGCTGTCTTCCATTCCCTTTCTCCTTAGCAGTCAGAATGACCTGCTGTGTTGAAATTAAAGGGCATTAATACATGACCTTGTTTTGGTCTGGGGATTTTTTTTTTTTTTTAAAGTCTAGATCAGAGATGACTGACAAGGGCGCTTTCTTTGAAATAAATATAGCTCTGGGTGAATGTTCTGACTTCTTCAAGCAGAGATGACAGAAGTACTGTGAAAAATAATTTTATTTTTTTGCCCTCCGACCTAATTTTGGGGCAGAAAGTTCTGTGTATTTACACTTAATTGCGGTTTCCACTCTAATCTGCTTAAAATGCAACCACTATTGGAGGCAGGCATCATGTAGCTAATTTCTTACATCATTGTTCTTTTTCATTAATTAACATTTCTCCACTGTTGGAGCAATTATTGAGGGGCCTCCATGCTGTACATCTTTTGATGATTAATAAGGAGTCATTATACCTCTCTTCCTGAAGCAGTCAATTAACATAGAATTCTTTCCATTAATTACCGAATGTGTCTCTACCTGGAGAGCAATCTGCTCTGAGAACCAGTGACACCAATGGCTTTAAAAAGTTCTCTTTAAATTTTATTCCGAAAACACAAGCAATTTAGCTGGCGATATTAATCTGCCTCAGAAGCATCATGGTGAATGAGAAACATCTTTTAATCTCATGCAAGAAAAGGCAGCCATCTGGCTGGCAAGGATTTCAGGGAGCCAGTCTCCAAGTCTCCCTCTGCAAATGCAGGTCATTAAAGTAATGTGTTCATCTACATAAAACTCAAATGGAATATAAAAGGTAATATTTATATACAAACAATTTAGTCCTACGATTTAAACAGTCATTGGTTTTATGAAACATTTACTTTAGACTATCAGATTTGCATAACTTCATTTAAAAATATTGTGGTCATTTTCTAGAAGTCAGTCTAGTCCTCTCAGCAAAGAGAAGGCTGTCTTTGGATACATGCACCTTATCCGAGTGTAAATATCAGGATGGGATGAGAGAAAAGGGCATGTCTGTAAGAAGCACACGTCCTTGTTCCTGATGTCTTTCGGTTGTGATGTTCCTGCTTCATGCTGAACTTTCACTAAAATAAGACACACCTATCCTGTTTCCTCTAACGCCCCCACTTTTCACTGATAAGCTTCAGAATGTCTACAAAACTCAGGAGAGGAGTCCTGTGATATCTGATCTCTTCCTGGGAGGTACGGTGTTGGTAGTTTTGAGTTGTACTTGAGGGATTTGCTTCAGTCTCATGTGTGTGTGTGTATTTCTTTTTTTAAAAAAACATTTTATTATTTATTTATTTTAATGGTTTTTAAATACAATATATTTTCTTAATCATTTTTTCCCTCTCTCAGCTTCTCCTAGCTCCTGTCCATATCCATCCAACACCATGTTCTCTCTAAAACATAAAGCACAAAAACAACCGAGAAAACTAAAATCAAAACAGACAAAAAAAAAAAAAAAACAGGATAAAACACGAGAAGCTAAGAGGAGGTGTAACAAGAAGGACCGTGGATTAAGGTGCCCATTGCCAAGCCTTAGGACCTGACTTTTATCCCTGGAACCCAGACGTTAGAAGGAAAGTTGTTCTCTGACCTACACATAGGCAGTATGGCATGTGATGTTCCCCCAACTAAATAAAAAAGTATTTAAAAATGTATTTAAATAATATTTACATTCTTGGTAGAATGCCAAGAATGGTTCTTGCAGTCCCAGTACTCAAGCGACGGAGGCAGGAGAGCTGTGAATTGGAGGCCAGCCTGAGCAAGACTGTGCTCAATAAAAAAAAAAAAAAAGCTCTCCCCAATACATACATACATACATACATACATACATACATACATACATACATACTGAGGAGGAATTTAACAGAATTGCTACTATGTAGTGTTTTAGACACATTCTTTTCAGATTTGGAGATGGTGAAAAGTATGCCGCACAAAGGTTTGTAACAAAGGATGCTCAGAAACTGCCAAGAGGGAACCGTGTAAAGCAAAGGGCTCTGGATTACAGATGGCATGAGGGCAGTTTACAAGCCTCAGGGTGTTGATAAGATTTAGGACTTTCCTATCAATTAAAAGCAGAATAATATATAAATCTCCATTCAAAACAAGGCAACTTCTTCAAATAAGCTAAGCCTCAGACAATAAAGTGAGGATTCCCTATAAAGGATGTAGTAATTTTTGAGACCATCAAAGCATTGGCTTTGAACAAAACTTGTGGAACACATTTGAGTGGTTCTGATTCCACTGGGCTGTCGAAAGACAAATAACTTCTATATCTGGCTCCTCCTAATAACCTTTACAATAAAAAGAAAAACCAGCTTCCTCTTTGCCTGACTATAGGAGTTTAAACGAATTCAGCTAACACAATCAATAAAACCAAATGTCTGTCTGAATATGAACTGGAGAACCCTCAGCATTCAGGATTGAATGGAAAAATACCTCTCCTTTTGTTCAAATAGCTGCTATGCCTGTAATGTTGACAGAGACAGAAATCCCATGCCTAGTTTTCAATATAGATAATCCTTAAATAAATATATTTTTGTCTGTTTGTCAATCACGGAAATACCACAGATGAGTGGAGGAGAGATTTTAAAAAAGTTCCCTTTCTTTAGCCAAGGGATGTCATCTCCTTGCTGAATCTGAACTGTGACCTCCAAGTTAGGGAGAAAATGATGGATTCATGCTTGGGGCCCTCCCCACAGGTGTGCGCCTTGAAGTTTAGACGGAGAACATCCATTGGTGATGTATATTTTGGATATTTTCTCTTTCTTCCTGTTATTTATACCATCTTTATGTGGTCCTGGAAAGACACAACTCTTTAGAATTGTAAATGTGCAGCCTGAGGTAGTTCCATAGACACACACTTCTTTTTTCTGTGAGCCTGTTTTCTGAACAAAGCACCACACCAGTTGCAAAAGTTTCCCATGTTCTGTCTGAAGCCAGTGAAGGTCACGCTGAATGAACCAAGTGGTCACGATCTGCAGGTGATAATCAGGGGCTGTGGTAGAACCACAGTCTTCAACTTAGCCCATATACTGGACCAACTAAAAGCTTTAAGGACATGCTGTGACTTGGTTCTTGTCCTAGTTTACTTTCTGTTCTTGGGATAAAAACCATGACCCAAAAGCAACTTGACAGCGAAAGTGGTTGTTTCATTATGCAACTCCAAGTTACATTGTATCACTGAGGGAAGTCAAGGCAGGAACTCCAGGCAGGAACTGAAGACAGGAACTGAAGCAGAGGATGTGCAGGAAAGCTGCCTTTTGGCATGCTCCTTATGGTTGGCTCATTTACTTTTCTTACAGCACTCAGGACCACCTTTAAGTTGTCATAAACAAACCAGCACAGTCCCCAAACATACCCTTATCTGATTGGTTAGAGAGAGTCTAGGTAAACTTATTTTGTTTGTTTTGTTTATTTTTGTCCACATTATTCTAAAGTCATTCCATATCAAAACTTTAACATCCAAGTAGTTAATAAAGATTTGATCCTAGTCAATTAGGTCTCATCAGGAGTGGTTGCATTATCTTCTTCTGTGGCCTGGTAAGGCTGCTTCCTCCTCAGGGGGAGGTAATTAAAGAGCAGGCCAATCAGTTTGTGTCAGAGACAGTCCCTGTTCCTATTACAATGGAACCCACTTGGATATTGAACTGCCATGGGCTACATCTGTGCAGGGGTCTTAGGTTATCTCCAGGCATAGTCCTTGGTTGGAGTATCAGTCTCAGGAAAGACCCCTGTGCTCAGATTTTTTTGATTCTGTTGCTTTCCTTGTGTAGTTCCTGTCCTTTCCAGATCTTACTGAAGGAAAAGAAGACCTCCCCTATCAGTGGACTTGTGGAGGGGCATGCATGCAGAGGGTGGAGGAAGGGAGGGATTGAGACAGGAGGAGGGAGGGAACCACAGGGGGGATACAAAATGAATAAAGTGTAATTAATAAAGAATTTAAAAAATAAAGATTTGGGAGTAAAAATGTCAGATGAAATACAAGTCTAGACTGTGGTCATTTGAACCATTCTGAACTACTTCTTGCTGCTTTGAGCAATAGTCTTCTCCAATGATACTGTATGTGTGGTACCTAAGTGATACAGGGCTGGACATGTGATTGAAGCACAGACTCTCAGGGCCCAGGCCTGCTAAATCAGGACCCTTGGTGTGGAGTCTAGCAGTTGTGTTTTAACATGTCTTCCAGGTGATTCCACTGCTGCTAACGTTTGACCTGTCTCCCTTGGAATATGGCCACACTAGTACTGTCTGATTCCCAGTCCACTGAAAGACTACAGAAAATCAATTTTGCATCCATCTGGGGGCAGGGGGAAGTTAATACTTGTTTCTTCCACATATTTCCCCAGTGTCACACCATTTTCCTTCCACCTTTAAGAAGACAGAAATATGAAACCAGAGTCACTTGGCCAATCCATTTGAAGTTGATTAAGTGCTTTCCGCTTTTTTTTTTTTTTTTTAAGGTAGAGAAGAGTGATAACCCTTTGAATCACTAACAGGACTTCTAGGCTCTCGTTCTGCTCTTTAATAAAGTACATGGGTATGTATACCAGGA